CTGTTCTGACTTTTTTCTAGTTCCCTGTCTAGAACTTGTAATGTTAATTACACTTGCCTTTACTTCTTCACATCTCCTATTCACGATTCAAAGACTTTCTCTTCCTCCTGCAGATAAGAGTTATGCAATTTGGGAGTCTTTTAGATAGACCCACTGAAGGGGTACTCCAATTGCCTCAACCTTGGCAATGTGGGTAACCTCTTCAGAGGATAGTGTAATAAGAATAGGAGGTAGGAATTGGCTAGGCAATAAGGGTAAAAAGACCCCAAAGAAAAGTAGCCAGTTTCTTGGCTAAAACTCACCATGTCCTTGGGCCTCTTAGCAACCTACTCTGTTCCAAAGGCCAAAACTGTCGAAAATATTTGGGAGCTTTTATCAAATCCTTAAAAGATTCTAGGGTTACCTCTTCAGAAGGGGGAATGTTAGAGTAGCCAAAAGCTCCATTTAAAAACAAAAAATCAGAGTACATGAAGTTACCAGAAAAAAGTGATGGGGAGCTATGGGAGGAGTTGGAGGGGAGGGAGTGGACATGAATTTGATCAAAACACCTTATATGCATGTTTTGAATAATAAATTATTTTTAAAAACAAAACAAAACAAAACTGTGCCAGGGATTGAACTCAGAACCTTGTTCATGCTGGGAAAGTGCTGCACCCTGGGCCACCTCTACTTTCATCTTTTAATGTTTTAATTTTTTTCCTTAAAAGTCACTCTTACTTCTACGTTCCGGGGACCATTTCACTACCATTTAGCCCCGCCAAACATGCTTCTCCAAGAAGAGAAAGCAAAGCACCGCAAAACCAAAGCAAACCACAGGCGCAGCACCTTCACGGAACGCCTAACCAAGCCTACCACTTTGCTACTTCCTGACAATAGGTCACATACCCCCAATTTTACTTTAGGTGAGCTTGCACACAGCTGACGATGGTTTGCTTTGTCTACACTTCGCCCTGCATTGGGACTCAACTTTTCCTCATACTACCATTAAGTCGTCCCAAGCACCAAAAGTAACCCCCGAAGCCTCCAGCACAAGCTGAAGACACCGAGGCGGCGCGAACCTGGGAACCGGCCTCAAGGTGCCTGGTCCCCACTCGCCGTGTGAAGGAGCCACAGCACCCACGGGGGCGCAGCATCGGGCGCCGCTGCCAGCCGGGAACCAGTAACATCTGCTTCCGGCTTCACCCACCTGTCGCTTCCGGTCGCAAGCGTAGCTTTTTACCCGAGAACAGCGAGGTTGGTCTAGAGCGCTCTGCCCGCAACCTGACTCCGCCCTGATAGCCACGGCCCCCGAGGACACGTCCTCAGGAGGACACGCCCCCGAGAGGGATACGCCTCCGAGTAAGGCCTAGTCCCCACCCCGCCGGAAGACCAGCCATCCCCGGTCAGGGAGGCAGTGTGGTCAGCCAGCCAGTGGCAGGTCCTGTCTCTTCCGGGTTTGCTCTCAGTCCTGCTGTCTGGGTTCTTCGAGGCGTTCCACAGCGCTCAGGAGTGCAAAACTAGATTCAAGGAAGGGATGCGGGCCACGTTCGAATAACTGACCAAAGATGAAAGTACAGATGGGAGCTCCCCGAGTGACGAGGAGATAACGCTGTCCGGGCCGAGGGAAGCAGCAGAATATTTCTTGAGTGGATTTTGGGGGCTCCCCAGAAATCCCGAGCACGCGGGGCAGGGCTGCCAGCGGTGCCTTGTTACTGAGCATGCAGGCCTTGCGCTGGGGCTTTGCATCTGCGCTTCGTAGCGAATGTGAAGGAATTCAAATTCAGTTTTGAAAGGCACATTGCATTTGAAGGAATAAATGTTGTAATCAGGCTGAGTGGATCAGAAAACCAACCCGCTGGCTGCAGTGGTGTTTACATTTCGGTGTTCCGTGTAGCTGTTGGCAGCAGCAGCCCCTGCGGATCAGTCATAAGGAAAGTCTCCCAGCAGCCAAGGTAGCAAGGCAGTATTTCCAGCTAGCTATTGCTGTGTAACAAGCTCCCCCAAACACAAGTAACTTTTACAATTGTATGGGTATCTGAGCTGTCTAAAATGATCTGGATTCATTGCCCTGCCGTTGATGCTGGCTCACTATCGGGGCAGTTCAACTCAGTCCACAAGGGGGCGGCACTTCCGCCACATTCTTACTGCCATAGGAACGTCAAAGCCAGACTGGAGTTATGTAGCCTGACAGTGGGTTCCACGCCTTAGAGAGAGGAGCCCAAAGAATTTGTGGCACTTCTCAATCTTCCACAGAAGCCAGTCTCCTTCAATAAGAACGGAAGCCACCAAGATATCCCTCTTGGAGTAAGAAACATCTTGTGTTCAATTTGGTGATGTTAATACCATAAATGATAAGGGCTTCTTATAAAGATATACTAGAGACAGTGACTCCTCCCTTTTTATTATTTTTGACAAGGTCACTCTTTGGTATTATGAGGGTGGGACTAGACACTGTTCAGTTAATCACAGTAGCAATTTTGCTACTTGTTAAATAGCCCCACATATTGTTGCCCTCTGTTTATATTATTTCCTTCCGAAATGTATTTCTTTGCTGGCGCTGGAGAGATGACTGCAGGTAGGAGTGCTTGCGGCTCTTCAAGAGGCCCGGGATTTGGTTCCCAGTACCCTAGTGAGGCTTACAACAGTCTGTAGCTCCAGTTCCAGGGAATCTGATTGTCTTTGTGGGCATCATGCATGCAAGTGGTACACAAACATACATGAGGCAAACTACTCATACACATAAAAATAAATACAACTAAATAACTGTATTTCTTTGAAATCTGAAACAGTACAGGGTTTTATTGCTTTGCTTTGTTTTGTTCTCGTTTCCTTCAAGGTGATTTTAGAGAATTCGCTATCCTGTGCTTCCAGATTTCTGTCCTTCGACTACTGTTATGCCTCTTCTTATTTTAGCATCTCCACTGGAACCTTTCCAATGACAATCAAACATGCCTCACAGTCCTCCTGAGGCCTCACTTCTCCTTCCTCCTTTCATTCTGTCTACCCCTTAAAAGCAAATTATGTGTGTGTGTATGGAGAGAGAGAGAGAGAGAGAGAGAGAAGACAGAGAAGGCTGGTAACCCAGGCTTGCCCAGATCTCCCTATGTAGCTGAGACTGGTCTCAAACTTGCTGCAATTGTTGGGTCTCAGCCTTCTAAATACGTAGGATCACAGGAATGTGCCATTTGGCCTCAGAACAAAACTTCTACTGCCGCACTTTGCATTCACGTCTTCTTAAACCTATTCTCTTTGCCCCACTTTTCAGTCTTCATCTAACTGTTCAGTGACTACTTCAACCTGGAAAGAGTCCTGTGGGCACGCTGACATCACTGCATTGGTTTACCTCAATATTACCTCGAGTCTTCTCTGATCAACTTCTGTATGATGGAGCTCCTCAGTCTTTACCTTCTATTCTCCTTAAAGTAGCTCATGAATTCTCATGACTTTAAATGAGAGTGCTATGTCAGAGATAAATGTACATGGTTGTGTCTTTCCACAAGGTGAGAATTTATTGACTAACAATAAATTCACAAGGTACAGCAGTTTCATTGGTGGTAATTTGCCAGAGACTTCCACACTCCTCATTACACAGGTTCATTTAGTTCAACAATAATTACTAATATTAACTCTGATCTAACACATTATATACTACACAGTAAATCTATTTATCTGTTTACCAACCTATCTGCATGTATGTACATAGGTTACACAATGGCTACAAAGGGTTAAAGAGGCATGTGTTTTACATATTTTTTATTATTGTTATTTTATGTGTATGAGTGTGTTACCTACATGTATGTGAGTAAATCCATGTCATGCAATGCCCATGGAGGCCAGAAGAGAGCATCAGTAACAGACTATTGTTAGTGCCATGTGGGTGCTGGGATTTGAACCCAGATCCTCTGCAAGAGCAGCCAGTGCTCTTAATCACTGAATCATCTCTCCAGCCCCAGGCAAGGACTTTTAAGGAGTTTCAAAGAAGCCTGAAGCTGGGAAGCTGACAGAGACACATAGGAGTTTGGGGGTGTATTAGTCAGGGTTCTCCAAAGAAACAGAACCAGGAGAATGAATATATATGTATAGAGATTTATCAGCTTAGCTCACAGGATAGAGTCTGAGTAGTCCAACAATGGCTGTACCACACTGGAGAGGCTGAGAATCCATAGTCGCTCAGTCCACGAGGCTGGATGTCTGTCTCAGTAGTCCCAATCTGGCACTAAAGGTCTGATGAACTCCAAAAGATCAGCTAGTCTTCAGTCTACAGCTGCAAGATGAACTTACCAGAGAGAGAGAGAAGGCAAGCAGCAAAAAGCAAAGTGTTCTGCTCTGCCATGGCCTTTTATACAGGCTGCCATCAGAAGGTAACACCCACATTTAGGGTGTGTCTTCCAGCTTCAGATGATCCAGTTAAGAAGATCTCTCTGATTTCAGTTAATCCCAGATCCAATCAATTTGACACCCAGGATTAGCCATCACAGGGGGGTGGGGTGGGTAAAATACCAACCCATCTGGAAGACTTTGTAGACAGCTGTGACTGCTGTGGTAGTCAGGCTGCAAGGTCAGAGTTGAGATGTACAGTTGAGTCCAGCTGTAGAGACCAAAGAGGCAGGACTGATTTCACATGAATGAATGGGTGAGTAGATGGCAGACAAACAGGAGATGGGCAGACAGCAATTCAAGTAGGCCACATCAATAACTGGTACCAAGTTGATCTGAAGCCCTGGGACAGCTGGAGGTTCTTTGTTGGTTTCTTGGCATACACACTGGATGGTCAGATACAGGATAGGGAAGTCATCGCCATTACAGTGCTGGGGTCTGCCTCTTTATGGGGCCCAGAGGAGAGGATTCTACCATTTCCTTGGTCTGGTGTATCTAATAAGTTCTGGTTTTCTGATATTTTATTACATTATTACTAATTATGTGTGTGCATGTGTATGGGTGTGTTGGGTATGGACATACCCTAAACTAACATATGGCGGTCAGAGGACAGCTTGCAGGAGTCAGTTCTTCCATCATGTGGATTCTGGGGATTGAACTCAGATCGTCATACTTGGTGGCAGGCGCCTTACCCACTGAGCCATCTACCCATGTGCTCCAACAATCCCAAATCGCCTTGATAAATTTATAGGATGGCGCCCTGTCTATTCTCAGGAATGTCATTTATTAGTCCATGCTTCACAGATAGTGCCATTCACACGTCCAGCCTGGTGCAGTCACCCTCCATCCTCAAAATGAAATCAAAAGCTGCTTGCCAAATGGGGTCTCTCAGGACAAAGCAGTCTGAAAAGCCACTAGTTTTTTTTTTTTTTTTTTTTGTTTTTTTGGTCTTTTGAGACAGGGTCTCCCTGTAGCCCGAGCTGTCCTGGAACTCACTATGTAGACCAGGCTGGCCTTGAACTCACAGAGATTGCCTGCCTCTGCCTCCCAAGTGCTGAGACTACAGGCATGCGCCACCACACCCGGCGAAAAGCCACTGTTTTATAAACATGGAGTAATGGAGGGGTAGGGCACAACTTGATCTGAACAGCATTCAAATTCAAAACTTAGTTCTATATGTAGTTCCATAACTTGGAAACCTGGTTCATCCAAAGTCTGTGCTCCTGAGCTCATTCATTCCTCTACAAAACCTCATTGTATTTAGTTCTTTTTATTAGCAACATTGTGGGGGGAGGTTACAACTCACTTCCAAACCATCACTATCTCCTGCCACACACTTTACCTGGATGGCCACTATCATCATCCATTTGAACATCTATGTGACTGCAAGTTGTGTCATTTTCAGTGAAGCCTCCCTGGTGACTGCAATTCGAATCAAGTATATATTATAGCTCATGTTATGTCTGTGAATGCTTTATTTTTTCATGACACATGGCTGCTTGTGCCTTCTACAACTGCTGTACAACATTGTGCCTCCCCTGGCAGCACTATGAAGATACTACTCTATCTCCAGCTCCAAGCACTAAAATAGCCACTGTCTTTAGGCTAGGTTCTGAATATATTAATTTTGTTGTTGCTTTGACAAAATGCCATACAAAAGCAAACTTAATCCAGAAAGAAGAGTTTTGGCTCACAGTTTGAGGATGCAGTCCCTCAGGGAGAGAGAAGGCATGACAGAAGTATGAGGCAGCTGGTCACAATGTATTAGCTGTCAAAGCTGAAAGCAATGAATGCTGATGCTCTTCAGCATTCTTCTCTTGATTCTGTCTGGAACACCAGCCCATGTGACAGTGCCACCCACATTGAGTGGGTCTTCCCACCTCAGTTAACCCAATCTATAAACTCCCTCAAAGATGTGCCCAGAGTATCTCTCCTAGGTGAGTCTAAGTCCTGTCAAGTTGACGATCAATATTGACCATCACAGTGAACAATGATTTTTGTATATTTTTTCTTTCTCAAGAATTATATTCTGTAGAGTACAGGACCATCCTCTGAACCAGCCGATGCCATCTTCAGGAGTTCCTACTTGCAAAAGATCATCACACCTTGGTGTGTTGACTGTTGATGTTCCCTCATAGGACGCCCTCACCTGAGCACTCAGCCCCTCCTCCCAGCCAGCTGTATGCAGTTCTGCCCTAACTGTACATGGTCTCAGGGAGAGGCCAGAGTATATAGCCAGGAAGACCAGGGGATGGGGGCTCCATGTACAGAGCCATGGGGGACTCAATATCCATGCTGGATGTAGATCTTTCAGGGTAGCTGCTTTAAGGTCACCCATGCTCCTGCCTATAATTCCTCACCCATTGCTCTGCTAGTAAGCCTAATGAATCCATTGGTTCCCCAGAGTAAACTCAGGTGGAATCTACCTCTGTTTGTCATTGGGATCTTAGGAGGAAGGAGGTGGATGTATTTACATCTCCCCTACGGAAGGAATTTCAGCAACAAAACAAACAACAACCCCCCCCCAATCAAAATCCAACCCCTGAACACCAAGCAAACAAACGAAAAACCAAACAAAATCCATACACAATAAAAATAAGTATGTCACTGTATGTCTAGATACAAAATGGTTTTAATTTCATTAGACTATCAGATATTTCAATAACAGATTTTTTAAAACAGTAAGTTGTTTTTCTTATATGAAATGTTAGCATAAAATGGCAGCAGATACAAGATAATAAACTTGGAAAGAAAGCTTTTGTAGCTCTGGCATGGATGTAGCATGGTGAAAAAGAAGACTGAAAGGCTTCTGAAGATTTGTGTTTGTTGGTCTTTCCTGTAGAGTTCATCTGCAGCAATCTTTTACAGAACAGAAACAGTCCTGATGTAAAAAAGCAAAGACTCCCAGAGCAAACTCTCCAACTGGAAATGCAACATGTGAAAGGTGAGAGAGTCAAGTCAAATTTCTCAGACCTCCTTTTTTATAATACTTATTAAAAAAATTCATTGTAATTACAGTAAAGCTGTTTTGGTACTGTTGAAATACTGTTAACCCAAAACAAAACAAAACAAAAAACCCCAAACTAGTTTTTATCAGCGATAGAATATAATCCCGTAGAGATCAACTTTGAATTCAGGATGTCTTTTTCTCCCTTCCTTTTGTCAGGCGTTCCTAATAAAGTTCGATTTTGTTCCACACATCCTCTAATTAAAAGCAAGTTTTGGTGTCTTTGGTAGTATGTCTCGGTTTCTTTACTCCAAATCTGTTATCACCAGGCCATCGTTTTCCTTAACATACACCACAGAATTCAAGGTTTTCAGTGAAAGAGATCCTGTATCAGTCCCTTCAATTCTTGTAAAGTTTTCTTGGTTTATGTCTTCAAATATTATTTTCTTGGTGTCTTGAAATAACCGAGTCACTGGTTCTAACCTATTTTTCTCAGTTTCTTGCATTAAATGGTCATCTACTTTTGAATCCATCTGTATGGCTGATATCTGAGTAGAAGCTTTGCTAAGCAAAAATCCCATTGGGACAGGTGAACAAATACCAAGGGAGTTTGAAGATGCCTGTGGAAATGTTTCTTCAATTTGATTACTGAAAAAAATAAAGGTACCAAGTGAATACAAAATGGATGTCAACTACTTCATGACTATTTATTTGAATGGAATACTATGATGGTGATAAAAATACAAAATAAAACTGCCTTCTACCTTTAAGTGTTAGCTTCTTTTTTAAATATTTCATTTTTAATTAGTATGTTTGTGTGTATGTTTTGTGTGTGTGTGTGTGTGTGTGTGTGTGTGTGTTTGGGCATGTGAGTGCAGTGACCACAGAGGCCAGAAAAGGATGTTGGAGCCCCTGGGACTGGAATTTTAGGTGATTGTGAGCTACCCAATGTGGGTGCTGGGAACCTAACTTGGGTCCTCTACAAGAGCAATGCCAACTTTCAACCAGAGTCATCTCTCCAGCCCACCTCACCATTTACTTTTTTTGGGGGGGTGGGGAGGATTTGCAGGGTCTATGGATATCCTTGAGGGTCTTTTAAAAATGTTTATTTATTGTGTGTGTGTGTGTGTGTGTGTGTGTGTGTGTGTGTGTGCGTGTGTAGGTCAGAGGACAGCTTCCAGGAGTCAGCACTCTCTTTCCATGTGGGTCCTGGGGATTGAACTCACGATGTCAGGCTTGGTGGCAAGCACCTTTACCCACAGTGCCATCATGTCATCTTGCCTTAAAAATCTTTTTAAAAAAGGAATTTTCCTGATTTCATGCTTATTTCCTTTCAGAAAAATTACAGAACTTCTCTTACTCTTATCTTTGTAGCAAAATCTTTTAACTCATTACTAATGGGCTAAAAATAATCACCAAACATCCTTCGCTATCAGGGAAATGCACATTAAAATCACACTGAGATTCTATCTAACCACAGTAAGATGTCTACGCCAAGAAAATATAAGACAACAAATATGGTTGAAGATGAGGGGAATCTTTATTTACAGCTGCTGGGAATGGAAACTGGTAGTCATTGTGGAAATCAGTATAGAAATTCCTCAAAAAACTAAAAACAGAACTTCCGAAAGATCCAGCTATAGCACTCCTGGGTGTATACACAAAGGAATCTAAATCAGGATGCCAGAGATATGCATTGATCTCCATTTACTGTTGCACTACTCACAAGAGCCAAGATATGGAACCAGCTTAGATGCCTAACAACAGCTGAATGTATAAAGGAAATGGAGTATATATCCACAATTGAGTTTTATTCAGCATAAAAAAAGAACAGTATGTCATCTATACAAAAATTGATGAAACTGAAGAATATATATATATGTGTGTGTATTCATAAGAATATCTATCTATCATCTATCTATCTATCTATCTATCTATCTATCTATCTATCTATCTATCTATCATCTATCTATTATATGGCAGGGGAGATGGCTCAGTAGATAAAGCAGTTGCCATGCAAGCCCAAGGAAACTCTCAGAAAAGCTGGGGAGGCATGAGACCTGCTTGTATTCCTAGCACTTGGGAGGGATGGGCTAGATTAGCCAGAATTCATGAATCTGAGGTGCTGCAAGAGACCCTACCTCAATGAATTAGACAGTGATTGAGGAAGACACCAAACATCAACTCCAGGCCTACACACACACACACACACACACACACACACACACACACAGAGAGAGAGAGAGAGAGAGAGATATGCAAACACAAATACACAGAATACACAGATGAATATAAACCTTATATACATATACATATACAAACAATTAAAAAAATAAGCCAGGTATGGTGGTGCATGCCTTTAAACCCAGCATTCAGGAAGCGGAGGCAAATAGATTTCTGTGAGACTGAGGTCAGCTTGGTCTACATAGTAAGTTCCGGGCCAGCTGAGGCTACAGGGAGACCCTGTCTTGAAAAAAAATCAAATAATTATTATTATTATTAGGCATAACATGAAAGTAAAAGGGATGGTACTTGGGGTGCTTGGGGGCGACCAGTGAGGGGTGGTGTAGGACAAATATGAGTAAGGTATAATTATATATGAACATATCATAATAAATCCACCATTTTGCATACTAACCAAAAAATTAATTAAAAAATTGAAAAAAACCTTTGCAGGCATGAAAGCAAGCATATCAAGCAGAAAATATAATTGTATAATCAACAGAAACAGACCTAGCAATGCATTATAGGATTTAATACACAAGTACCTTAAAACATTTCTTTAAAATAATATCACAAATTTCCAAGATAAGATGGTAGAACAAGGTATACACGATATGGTTTATAATGAAAGGGTTTAAAATTTTATTTATATTTACTTTCTGTGTATGAGTGTTTTGCCTGCATGTATGCAGGTATACCATATGTATGCAGTGTTATGGATGCCAAAAGACGGCATTGGATATCCTGGAACTGGAGTCACAGAGAGTTGTGAGCCACTGCGTGGATGCTCCAAACCAAACCAGGGTCCTCTGGAAGAACATGAAGTGCTGCTCTTAACTGATGATCCATCTCTCCACTCCCATGGAAGATTTTCTTTTTAAATCAAATTTTCAGAAATGCAAAATACATTTTTTTTTTGAGATGGGGTCTCATGTAGCCCAGAGTAGCTTTTAACTCACTACAGAGGTGATGTTGGCTTTGAACCTCTTCCCTTGGCTTACCAAGTGCTAGGGATTATAGATATGTACTTCAATGCACAGAGTTTTCAATTAAAAAAATATTGTGGTTGGGGTTAACACTGTCAAGGGAAAGAGTAGAGAACCTGCAGCAATGAACAACAGCAGGATAACAGAGGGCTTGCTTGGCATGCATGAGACCCTAGGTCCAATCCCTAGATACATATACACAGATTCTCTCTCTCTCTCTCTCTCTCTCTCTCTCTCTCTCTCTCTCTCTCTCTGTCTACACACACATATACATGTATATATATATCCATGAAACTAACAAATTTAAAGAAAACAGCATTAGTAAGCTGTAGGGCAGACAATATCAAGTAGCTTAACATTTGTATACTTAGTGACTTGGATTTTTTTTTTTTTGAGGAGACAGAAAAGGCAAAACAGGTTTTTTGCAATGAAGTTGTTGAAATGAAGAAAATGAAAACTACACAGAACGGACATGTCACAAGAGAGAGCAGGGTTACGATATGATACCAGGCTTAGTTTGGGTATGGAGGAAAACTCACTACTCCTTGGGTTGCCACATAGGATTTTTTTCACTTCTTTGGACTAGGGGATAAAGAAGTCAATAGTCCTTATTAGAAAAGAAGTGAAAATATTCACATGCTCTTTTGGCCTTAAAAAGGGTCTTTTCTCTGCATTGTTTCTAAAGACTCTTCTGTAAACATCTAGGAGGCATACATAAATGCTTAAACTTTTTATTCTTTTCTTAAGGGAATTATGGTGCTTCTTCTATTATTAATAATTTTTCTTTCTCCCCCTCAAATTTTCACCTCCAACCAACAGGGTTTTTTGGGGGCAGGGAAGCTGTGTATCAAAGCCAGAGTCTTCCCACGTGAGTTATACTTCTATCACTGGGTTATACTCTCAGCCCAACTGAGTTTTTTTTTTTTTTTTAAATTAGTACATTCTTCATATTTGCTTTCCAAAATCCTAGTCCAAACTCTTGAATTCAAAATAATCTTAGTGTCCAAAGAGGATATCAGACTACATATTATTTTCTCTATCTTTTCAGGTTGGTTTTTGAAAGCCCATGTTGCTTCATTACTTATTTTACCAATTATATATAATTAAACTTCAGAAAAAATGTGCTTCCTGGATCTTCTGTCCTTTTCATCTAAAGTAGTTGGGATACTTGAGTTGACTTTTCTGGTATTGAGTTCTGATTACAAAATGCATAGTATATGAAAATAAATGGTACAAAATATGATGCCATGTTATGACACACTTTATGAAAAAATATAGGGAGATTGAAAACCAAGACACTTATATTTAAGTATACTTGTCTTAAAAAACTTAAGAAAATTGATTATTGGTAATGTTTTATGGAAAATGAGTACTCACCTAGGAACAACAGGAATTCTTACGTCTCCGCAAATGTGACCTTACTCTTGAAATTTACAGGCTTAAACTAGGTCATCACAGAAGGCTGTGAAAAGCTATGGCCATCTGTAGAAGACATGGATATCAGATCACCATTGCAGTACAAAGAGCTCTCAAGTTAATGAAGTTAAAGTTTCTGCACAGCAAAGGAAACTATCAGCAAAGGGGAACAGACAGCCTACAGAGTGGAGAAGTATCTACCAGGTGTACTTCAGATGGGTTAAAACCTAAAACTTACAAAGAACTGCAAATATTAAACTCCAAAAAGATAAATCTGTCCATCAATAAATAGATTAAAATGGGCAGTTCTCAAAAGAAGAAAATACATATGGCCAACAAAAGTTTTTAAAAGTGTTCAATATCTTTAGCCACCAAGGAAGTGCAAATTAAAACTACTTTGAGGGTCTACTCCCCTCAATCAGAATGGCTATAATGAAGAAGACAACAAATGCTGGTGAGGATTCAGGGAGAGTAACCATTGTTCAGTGCTGGTGGGGGTGTAAACTGGCATTAAACACTAAGTAAATCAGGGTGGAAAACAGAACTATCATATGACTAAGCTATACCACTCCTGGACATACACCCAAAGGACTCTGTATTCTAACACAGAGATCCATGTTTACTGATACTCTATTCACAGCACCCAGGAAATGGATCCAACCTAGATGCCCATGAATAAATGAATCAATAATGGAAACATCTTACATATACACAAAGGAATTTTATTCAACTATAAAGAAAAATGAAGTCATGAAATTTTTAGGAAAATGGATGGATCTGGAAATTATATTAAACGAGATAACCCAGACTCAGAAAGACAACACGAATTCTCTCAAGTGCAGATCCTTGAACACACACTCTATACATACATATATGTATACATATGGCATATACTGGTAGTGTGTGTGAATATGGGTCATGAAACTAGAGGGAAAAAGAAGTGGGAATGTGGGAGGGGGTAATAGAACACTTATGATCTACAAGTATAAAGGGGACAACTGGGAGTAGAAGGGTACAAGAGGGAAGAGAGATTAGGGGAGGAGGAGCAACAAAATAAATTACGAATGAAAATGTCATAATAAACCTATTTACTTTGCATGTTAGTGTTATAGGACGGAGTTTGCAAAAAAAAATTCACCAACACCACTTTAAGAAAAGTAGCAAGGTAAATTTTAATTTTCAATCGGCCAGGCTAGGCTATCTCGGGAGTAGAAGCAGCCCTGATGATTGTCAGGTCAGAGTTTTTATAGGATTACAGAATTATTATTAAAACAGGACATTTGTGAACCAATCAAGTATGTACAACATAGCAGAATTTTGACTCTATTAATCAACAACCAATCATTATACAGACAAGTGATACAGTAATGTAACTTGGCAATCAACTTTATGACCTTAAAACTAGCCAATTGTTTTAGCCATAATAATAAGACAGCCAAGATAAATGACTTCTAGGTGGTCATACAATAACAAGATAACAAGGGTGACCAGTCTTAAGCCCTGTGTCAAGATGACCCAAGATAGCAAACGGATTACAGAAGCGAAAACAAGCTGGTTAGTCAGATGTAAAATGTCTGGAATTAACACATTCCATGGTTCATGGCTAGGACAATTTTCCAAGGACCAAGGTTGCCCCGCCTTTT